CTCTCTCGATATCAGCCGTCCAGCTATTAATATGACAATCGGTCGTCTCCCCGCCCTTGACACTGAGATAAGGCCGCCGCCGAATATGGATGACTGATATTGCGTTCTGTTCGGTTCCGACGTTGACCTTGACTGGTTCGCCTTTTTCTTGTGCGCTGTTTGTGTTTCATTGTTTTTCCCGTGTTTTTCTTGGATTGCGGCGAGTGTGCTCATTACCGATATTACCGACGACAGAAGGGCCCATTGTTACATACGTATAACATTGTTCGAATTTTGGAAAATATCTCATATTATAAGAATCAACTTTAGTCTTCCGATGTTGTTTTCTTTGTTTTTACTGTTGTGCTTGTGTAAATTGACACGGACCGCGTCGCTTCGTTATACACGATGCCCCGCGACTCGTGCCACCTTTATCAGCCGTCGCCCTACTATGAATATTTGACTGACCAACATCGCTTGTTATACGCTACGGTGCAAAGTCCAGCAAATGCCGACGACGACCCGCCGAAAATGGTGCGAGAGTCTTCCTCCCGTCGTGAAAGCGACAACGCCGCGACCAACCGAACCGCACCAGCGCACCATCGCCTACAACGCTGCTAACCATTTTGCCGTTCAAGGATTACGCCGGACGTCGCGTCGTCGACACCAGCGAAAGTGCCGCGATATTATGCGAAGATTATTATTGCTGTGTTTATCTTTTCGGTTTGTTTATTTTTATTAAAATAATGTGTTGTCGCTCATTTAATAAACGGCCCACGGGTCTCTACCCTCAAAACCAGTGTCGGCCACATTTTTGCGACGCAAGTCCTGTCAAAATATATATACACATAGACATAAATATATATAATATATATATATATATACCTCGAGTGCCGTACCATTTGGATACGCGTTATTTAATATTTAACATATACATAACATGTATATTTTGGATGCGATCTTTAATTAGACTACAGAATAATTAAAAAAATATTGGGACAAAAACTTATATACTAGCTAGTAAATAAGAAAATTATCTTACTAAAAAAGAAATCGACCTAGTTGACCTCTTAAGGTATATTAACAAAATTTGTATTTTTATAAGTGGCCAGACTAAATAGCCAATTTTTAAACTCTTATCTTACAAACAATTTTATGTAAAAAGTTTAACTTTAATATTTTGTCTGAAAAATTATATTATAATGTACGAAGTTAGTTTCAATGCGTTTGCTAAATAGCTATTGGTTTAACTCTGTAAATTATTTTTTTACTCGACACAATTACTTATACATATTGAATTTTCGAAAAATCTACCCCTTGAATAAAATTTAGTTAATACAATAACTTAGAGATGCAAAAAAAAAATAATATAATAAAAACTACCCGTAGTGTCGATCTCTAGGAGTTATCAATCATTAAAACGAAAAATTATTCGATTATCGTTAAAAATGGCTAATATTGCAGTATTTTTCAGAGCAAGGAATTAATAAAGAAACGCTCGTAATATTTTTCTTCATCAATGTTTCATTAATAATTATAATTTATATACTTTTTCCATTTATTTTTTCAGGTGTACCTATATTTAGGTTTTGAGTACCTGTAATCTCTTAATGAGTAATTGACCAATAAAATAGACAACCATGTAATTTTTGGTGAATATATTAATTAAGTGGCGAAACTTTGGGGGAGCTTAAATGGCTGTTGTCCCCCTCCAATTTACATTGTATTTCTTTAATGCTAGTAAGAGTATGTGATAAGAAAAAATTATTTAAACTCCTCAAGTTAAAATATCAAACATAAAAGACATAAATAAAATCTCGTAATATTTTTCTTCATTTATGTTTCAGTAATTAATTATAATTTATTTACCTTTTACAATTATTTTCGCAGGTGTTACTATATTTAGGCTTTGAGTACCTGTAATCTCTTGATGACAAACAGGGCACTCTGTCCTTGAATGATTATACCCTTCACAGCACCAGCCACATCTACAAGGTAAAAAAATGTGAACATCCGTAATTATACCACTGTTTCTTTTACATATAGTACAAAGAGATTGATCTGCAGAAAAAAAGATAAAAAATTGTTAAATACTTGCATCCGTTTTAATTACTGAAAATTTTATATTATACTTTTCATCTCAAAAGCATTTCAAATATTTTTTAACGCTTTTAAAACCCATTAAAAATTACTGCCAACAACTTCAAAGAGTAGTTTCTTAAACATGTACAGTTATTTACCAAATAAATACTATTAGAATAATTTAAGTTTTTTTAAATGTATATTTAATAAATTTGCCATTAATAACCATTCTAATGAAATTGATTGACAAATTTTTACAAAAAATATTTCATAAACTATTAAAATAATTTTTTTTTTTTAATAAAAAATAATGTTATAAAATTTATAAAAAAAATACTCTTACTCTTATATCCAGTTATATCTTTGAAACTAGGAAAATTTGAACTAGGTAAAATCATAAAATTTCTAAAAATTTTATTATAATATCCATGTATTTTTAATAATTTTCTTTCAGGAATATTATCCATTGATTTTTTATCAGGTTCCATTAAAAAGTGTACTTTATCTTTTATCAAATTCTTGCAGCTTAGTAGATCATTTCTGTAATCTTCGTCTACATTATCACATTTGTTTTCGTGTTTTTTGTAAACTTCTAAAATGCATTCATACGGTTCAGGAGAAATCAATTCTTTATTAAATATCAAAACAAGTTTGTAAAGATTTTCATTAAATTCATTTAAGTGAACAGATATTGTAGCACCTTTTTTATTCATTTCTATTGCAAATTCGCAGAACAGATAAATGTATGTAATGCCNTTATTCATTTCTATTGCAAATTCGCAGAACAGATAAATGTATGTAATGCCCATACTTTCTATAGCGTTCAAAAAAATCGAATAAACCAATTTAAATTTTTTTTTGCGCATACATCTTTTAATCACATCTGTCAATCTTTTATTTACTATTTCTATATCTTCTTCATAAGGAATATCTTCATCATCTACTGCGTGGTTGTAAGGTATTGGACAATACAATACCTCATTTTTTGATTTTATATAATAAGGATGTTGTTGAAGAGTGAAATTATGAATATTTGGGTATTCCCTTTCAAGAGTCTGTATGTCCTCACGTGTAATGTTATTTAGATCAACACATATTGATTGGTTGATTGTCTGAATAAAAAAGAATACTAATTTCAATTTATTGAGAAACATATTATTCTAATAGAATATTTAACAAAATTTTTAAATTTCAAAATATTTTATCAATTAACATAAAATAGTTTTAAAATAAATTACATACTAACTAAACATTTTTGAATAACAAGAATTACTGTAATAAGACTATTTATAAGTAGTAGTCACAAGTTTATTTTAAATGGCTGATCAAATATAAAATATTAATACGTACTTTAATAATATATAAACAACTGTAATTTAAAATATAATTTATTAATTATTTATATATGCAAAAATACGAATTTTCTTTAATGAAATTATCGATGGAAAAAAAATTAATTTTCATTAAAAATAAATCACGATATTACTTATAAATCTATTTTGAACAGTTTATTTTGATTTAACTATTCTATATGAAAATTCGTAAATCATAAATAAAATAACTTTTTAACAATATATTTTGTAACTGTTATTTGATGAATTATAATTTAACAGATGATATTGTTATAATATTATAATTAAAAAATGTATTTATATTATAATAATTATATAGATTAACATTGATAAATGGATAGATTTATAATTTAATGAGAGAAGTGTGTCATTTAAAGCAAAATGATCTTTTTCAATTTAAAAAAAAAAATTGTAATTTTTCTAAACTTTAAATAAAAATGTTTGAAGAATACTTTTTTATGAAAACAATGACAAATTATTATATTTTACTCAAAGTTTTTAAATGGAACAGAACGGGACTCCTTCTTATTTAAGTAAACATACATATTAATTTTTTACCAATATTTAAATTAAGCAAAGATCATCATGAAGTATTTTTATAATATACTCAATGTTTTTTTAAGTTTGGCAGGAAGTGACTACCTTTTAATTAGGTTATACATATTTGGTTATTTTTTATAAATACTTCAATTAAACAATAGAATTTTAACATTCCCGTTAAAAAAGTATTAGAAATTGACTTTTTTAAATTAATTAATAATCAGTTTTAAATAATGAACATTTTATCAATTTTTTTAAATATATCAAGAAGTTTTCTAATTTTTATGGTGAATATTTTCTTTAAGATTTAAAAATACGTTAAATATTAAAAAGCAGTTTAAGTATTAACTTTTAATATGTACATTTTTTTAATTAGTAAATCATTTTAATTTATTTATATTTAATTTATTTTATATTTATTGTTTTATTTATGATAATTTTGCTTTTTAAAAATAATTCCGTTAAAAAAAAACCAAACACAGGGGGGTCGGGACACAGTGGTGTCGTGGTATAGTTGGATCAAGTATAATGATATCTGACAGTGATTAAAATCACTATCAAAAATAAACGCTTCGATGCAAATCTTTAGATAGTGTTTAATTTTAAAAAAAATGGTGTTTTATACCATAAGCTAAATGATCTGCTGGTTCCTCATTAATATCTTGATTAAGATAAAGTATGACTAATGAAAAAGGGTTTATTAAAAAATATTATTTCTCATAAAAAAAATTGTGTGGATCCATACACTTTTCAATAAGTTATAGCATTATAAAGTTAAATATAATATAAAAAATAAAATCCAGAATTTTCACACGAAAATAGCATTCGGTAGGCATTTTCGCCGTGAAGACAAGTCCAGAGGTCAATTTTTTTTTTTTCAAATTAAAGTAAATTACATTAGCATTAATTTAAGATATATATAAAAGTGTCAGACCTTCCGGAACATTTTCACAAGTTATNTTTTTTTTTCAAATTAAAGTACATTACATTAGCTTTAATTTAAGATATATATAAAAGTGTCAGACCTTCCGGAACATTTTCACAAGTTAAGTTGAAAAAGTTAATTTTTTGTGAAAAATCTGTCATTTTAAATCCCCACCTAGATAAAGGGTCACATTTACAAAAAAATATACCAAATGATAAGTAAAGACATCAAGTATCTATATAAAAATTAGTTATATTGATATGTTATTTTTGAAAAAGTTAGAGCATTATTAAGTTAAAAATATAAAAAAAAATTATTTTACAAAAATCGTAATTTTTTATTAATTTTGATGTCTATTTTCACCACAAAAACAAGTCCAATGGTCTAATTTTTTTTTTCAAATTTAAGTACATTACAATATCTTTAATTTAATATATATAAGTTGAAAATTAAATTTTTTGTGAAAAAGTTGACACATTAAATCCCCCCCTGTGGACAGGTTAGGTGTCAGATTTACAAAAAAAATATACCAAATGATAAGTAAAAAAATCAAGCATCTATAAAAAAAATTTATATTGATTCGATTATTTTTGAAAAAGTTACAGCAGTTTTTAGTAAAAAAAAATGAAGAAATGTCGAAAATTAGTGATTTTTAAATTTGTAATTTTTTGGGGGATATCCCCCGTTTACGGGGAACGAGGGAAATTTCAATTCAATTTTTCAATCAAAACTTCAATTTTTGAGGGTAATGTATTCATCTAGATACGATTTGTGATCTTTTGACGTATCTTTGAAAGAAATCCGTTCAGTGAAAGCTGAGAAAAAGTGGTAATAGACAAAAAAAAACACATCATAGTAAAACCAATACCTTCTCAGCTTTGCATCAAAGCTAAAAAATGTTTATATTATTCAATAATACTCCAGAAATTTACTTATTAGTTATACAGGCTGAGAAAACTTGTTAGGATTAATAATTTCACATTTCTTATTGTCATAATTAAATAAAAATTTCAACAATTTTTCTAATATTTTTTTCCAGAAAAATGTCAGATTCAATGCGAAGCTGACAGTGATTCAAATCACTGTCATTTCATTTTGAACCTATTTTTTAATATATAATCATGTATTCTTTTTAAAAACTATATAGAGTATGGTAGCTATATATGATCCTTCTACTTAATTCCTGAAATAGACACGTATTAATAAAATAATTCTGTACAAACATTATTAAATTTATTTAGTATATTTTTCTATATTGATGATTATTTTTCTTTTTATGGTTTAAAATTAGATAAATTAAATAAGTTGCAAATTTATTTACTTTTGAATAGTGTAGCTGTTTTTGTTGATAAGAAAAATAGTTCAAAATGGACTATCTTTATCCAATACTGTATGTCAAATTGCTTTAATGCCCAATAACATCCAGATATTGAAATAATTTTACTTTTTTCATCTAAAAGTACATTGAATTATCTTTTATTTGATATAGATTTAAATAATTATATAAAAGAATTTTTGATATGTTAATATAAGCTAATGTTATTTATTATGAACAAAACAGTTCGCAAAAATATGATTTAAAATTTTTTTATTCTTAAATTTATTTTTATTTAGGTACAATAATATCTAAAGGATCAATATAAATCTATTAAAAGATTTAATATTAAATCTTAATATTGCCATGCGTCAATTATCAAATAAGTATGTTTTAGCTTTACTAATCGTTTTTTTGAATAACAATTCTGTATTATAGCAATAAATTGTATTTTTATTTATTCTGTTTAAAAATATGTATTAGAATTTCTTATAATTTATTTAGGTACAATAATATCTAAAGGATCAATATAAATCTATTAAAAGATTTAATATTAAATCTTAATATTGCCATGCGTCAAATATCAAAAAAAGTATGTTTTAGCTTTACTAATCGTTTTTTTTAATAACAATTCTGTATTTTAGCAATAAATTGTATTTTTATTTATTCTGTTTAAAAATATGTATTAGAATTTCTTATAATTTATGTATATGTTTTGACTTTTAAAAGTTAAAAGCATCAAAATGAAAAAAATAAAACTATAAATCACATAATAATTTAAATAAAAAAATTATAACTACAATAGATTAAAATAATAATGACAGCATCACAGTGATATAGAAAATTAAATTATATAAAAGGTTNGAGAATCACAGTGATATATAGAATTAAATTTTTGGTTATTATTAAGGTTAATTTGTTTTAATGTAATAATATTACCATTGACAGTCAAATAGGCTTCGATTAGAGATATGGTCCCAACATAATTTTTTTAAGCGTACAATTTTCATTTTATATATTGGAAACTTTGTGAAAATAAATAATTATTTCTACAAGTTTAGGAAATTCAAATTTAGGTCTTTGTTATTATTTACAGGTAAAAAAATTCGACAAGATATTATTCCAAAAGAAAACATTTATGCATATCTAATGGTCTTTACTAAAATCTTGATATACGAGTATTATATACAAAATAATACAAATAAAAAAGCTATAGTGTATGGAGTACAATTCGAGTTTTTTCATCTCCATGTCAAAATCATCTGATAGCCAATCGACGAGAGAAAGAGTGCGATCAAAAAATTTTAGAAATAAAAATAATATTATCGACTTCCTTACGCATATTAATATAAAATGTAAAATAACTAAATCTATAAAATTATGAACAGACAATGTAATAAAATGTTAATTTAACATTCATTAATACAAATATTTATAAATTAATCAAAATAATATTATTTTAGATAGAACTTTAATAGATTTTTTCATTATTTTACAAATTTTCATACTGTATACTTAAAATCTTCTCACTACATATTGTAAATAACCATTGTTAATAACCATTGTGGTTATTTTCAGTACATTTACTACAATACCAACCGTGACCATATAGTATCACTCTGTGTTTATTTAGAGGAAGCACATATTTTATTTGACTGCGGCACCTTAAACAACGTGCTTCTTGTCCATCTAAAGTACACCTTGGCTGTATGGAAAACAAACCTAAATGCAAATATTAAAAATTAGTTTGTTTTCTAACACTAAACTTTATGCGCAGGTATTTTACTTTTCACGCAAGCATAATGAGTNCGCAGGTATTTTACTTTTCACACAAGCATAATGAGTACTTAAGGAAAAAAAACTGCACGAATTTAAGCAGTATTAGTTAAAAAAATATATATATTTTGCATTACTTATAGTCCTTAGTTACCTGGTTTATATATAGTTTACAACAAAATTGAATCTTTGGTAATCATAAAATGAATTATAAAAATATAATAGCAAAAATTATAATTGTATTTATTGTTGAAAAACAATAAAAAAAAAGGAAAAATTATTATTTATTTTTTGAATTACGTATGAAATTAAATTTATTAAAAGTTATATTTTTAAATCTATGCTAGAATAATTAAAATTTTCTTAATTTTATTGCAAATTACTTTATTGTTTTAAAGAATTTTCATTTTTTTTTTTTATAAGAGAACTTATAAAGTGTAAAACTAACTGAATTTAAAAATATCTAAATAAAACTATATGAAACTAACTAAGTTATTTAAAAAATCAAAATTTTGTCCAAAAGTAGAATTGTTAGTTTCTTTGCAAACATTTTTCAAATTTTAAGCATCAAATTAAAAAAAATCTGATATGTATAATATGAGATCTGTAAGGGGACCTCCTCTCGTATATTTAATTTCAACACTGTATAGCTAATAGCGGTTATCCACTTGAAAATCATCACTCTCTCGCTTTTAGATCACCTAGCTGTCTAGAAGTCTTTTTGTTCGTTATTTCGTCAAATCGCCTTTTTTGTTGTTACTAAAATTGTTCAAGCTTATTTTTTTCCCTTGAAACATTGTCGTTGTAATATTTTGACCAACTTGTCATGATAATAATCTTAATATTGTAATTTGTAGGAAACTTTGCTTACAACAAGTTTTTTCTTTAATTCTTAAATCCAGTTTTAAAACCTCGTGGTTGATTTCAAATTTCTTAGTAAAATACTGGTCTATTAGTTATATAAGTTAATTTTTACATATTTTAGTGTTGTCACTTTGAACAAATATTATTAGATTGTTCATTTAATAGTCAAAGTTAGAATCTTACAATTATTATTGAAATCAATCACTAGAGTTGTAATACTCCTTTGTTGTGGGTGGTAAAACTTTATACAGTGAACATCATAATTATTTTATTTATTTACAAAATATCATGGAAAATTTCCATTGTCATTACTTTATTTATAATTGTTATTCAAAGAAATAAAGTGGTTTGTCTTTTAATTAATTTTCTGTCTAGCTGTTGTCTATGAAATTTACCCTATATACAGTCCACTAAAAAATATACAAAATAATTTGCTCATTTCACCAATCCCAAATCTTTTACTTGTAATATTGGTTACAATTGTTCATAATTGAATTTATAGTTTGTCTTCGATAAAAAACATTAAATTTAAATACTCATTTAATCTATCGGTTAATGTAGTGCTCCAACATGTGCACTGACTTAAACGCATAAGTATTTGTTCAATAGTATACATTAAATTTTGTCAAGTAACGGACATTTAGATTTGAAATTATTTTTCATAGAATTTATGTTTTAAGAATACTGTTAAGAGTGTTGTGATACTTGGTCACAAAACAAAGTACAACAATACACTACACTAGTTTATGGCGATATTGGCGCAGAGTCTGATATTAAACAATGAATAAAACATAGAACAGAAACATAAACCAAAGTAACAGTAAGATTACAGTACACAAAAGTGCCGGTGTCTTTCGGGGAGGCGAAGAAGGTAAAACCTGTTGTTTGAGCGGACGACGAATCGTTGTAGGGGCCACGAAGATGACTGTCCAAACGGACATTTGAGGCGTGTCGTGCGGCACTTGTTGGACTTTGTACTATGGCGTATGGCACGCGCTGTTAGTCAGCCGAACTACACGTAATTGGGCGATGGCTGATAAAGGTGGCTCGCGTCGCAGGCTCCGTGCATCATGAANTTGGGCGATGGCTGATAAAGATGGCTCGCGTCGCAGGCTCCGTGCATCATGAAGCAGCGCGCAACCATGTCAATACTTCACAAGAAAATGTTGTGATTGTTTAACTAATCTGGGTAAAAAGTATTTTTAATAATGAGTCAATATCGTAAATATATAAAATATTGAAAAACAACTCAAGTGTTATAATTCAACTAACAAAAATTAATAAAATAAAAATAGTGAATTAT